AACTTATTATTTTTTTATTACACAATGGACACAGTATGAAATGAACCCGGATAGCAATGTGTCTGTCTTGTTGCTGACATGTTGCTTGCTAAGTATGCATTGCTAAGTATAGGTTGCTATCAGAAGTGCAGCAACTGAGTTCTCAGTTGTTGACAACTTGATGTCTTTACGATATGATAACGTTAAGTAGCAAATTGTTAGCAATTTGCCGACAACTTTAAAATCGTCATCATCAAAATTCGTACTATTGCCATCATATTGCCATAATAATATGCAGGGGATAATGTTGCCGACAACGCAAGCTAACATTGACACAGCTATCTCGCTGTTAAATTGCTGATAATACTTATACATATTGTTGTTTGCATGATATTACAATGTTGGTATGTTCGAAATAATTAAAGACAAATCTATGGCAAGTTATCAGCATCATAAACAATAACAGATTTACACGATTTTGCTTTTTCTGGGAATTTATGCAATGTCTTTAAGAAATTACATATTACAATACTTTTCTATTACGATCAATATTATATAAAAAAAAGCTAACCTCCGGAAAAAGGAAACATAGAATTATGCCTTTATTCATGTTTATTCTGCCCATTTCTTAATTAATAACTATATTGTTAGTTTACAATTGAGGGTGCATGTGCGCGCGCGCGCGCGCGCGCGTGTGTGTGTGTGTGTGTGTGTGTGTGTGTGGGCGGAATAAAGGCACAATTCTACTTAGACTTTCTTCCGGAGATTAGTTTTTTATATAATATTGATCGTAGAGAAGAAAGTATTGTAATATATAATTTCTTAAAGACATTGTATAAATTCATTTAATGCTACATCCATTGTGTATAATAAAAAAGTAGCAAGTTATTTAAATTTTTATTAAATCAAGATTTTGTAATTAGGCCTTTATTCCGCCCATCCTCTCAATTATAATTTATAATGGTAACATTCATTATTATATATTGTATTATCATGTAATTCTTTCGATGTTGTTATTTGTTTGAGCAATTTGTTTCCCAAATTTCTTTTATCTAAGTATTTTTAAATTCCCCTTGGTTATCATTGTTTTTGGAGCAATTTTTTTTCGAAAATTTCGGACTTAAAAACATTTTTTTAAGATGGTTGTATCGCAAAATGACTTTTCTTAAAATTTGTTTGAAGCTTTTATTATTTGAAAATAATAATATTTTCTCTCTCTCTCTCTCTCTCTTTCTCTCTCTCTCTCTCTCTCTCTCTCTCTCTATATATATATATATATAATGATATATATATATATATATATATATATATCATTTTGAGTAGAGGAGGGGTAATCAAGTTCAAAAGATAATTACATTTAAAGTTAGTACTTTTAACATGAATAAGAAGAAGCACACAGCCACATACGTAAGTTGTTTTTCGTACAAGTTATATATTTAAAATTAATTACATGTAAACATTTCGGTCTAGTTATGACTCATCATCAGAATGCAAATGTTAAATATTTAGTACATTAGGATATCGCAGTACAAAAATTCAAAAATTAATCCTGTCTTCGTAATCTCTTTTATGAATGAAATTAAGAATTTATTCTTGATAACTTATGTTAAAACACAGTTAGTATTTAACATTTGCATTCTCTTGATTGTACTGATGATGGTCACGACTCGTTGGAAATGGACCGAAATGTTTGTAATTAATTTTAAATATATGACTTGTAAAAATAACTTGCATATGTTATTGTATGCTCCTTCTTATTTATGTTTTATGTTATCGAGCTATTTCTAATAACTTTATTTAAATTTTATTTAGTACTTTTAATATGTGCTAAACAAGGAGGTCCCTGTGCTAGACAAGGAGATCCCTGTGCCAGACAAGAAGCGACAGTACATTTTCAATTATAGCGCAAAAACGATATTTACAAATTCTAAAGACTAAAAGACTATAGATAAATGTAATCTCCTAAACCGGATCTCCTAAACCGAATAAAATAGAGGGGGGGGGGGAGTAACCAGGCAAATATTAGTATAAAACTTTAGAAAGTTGCTTTGTTATTTCATTATAATATTCACTTCGCTTATCAATTCATTCTCAAATATCGGCTCACAGCAGCTCGGGGAAATAAAAATTACTATTGCGAAATAAAAATTATTGTTCAAAAATTGTGATTTACAGCAATTTTTGAACAGTAATATTTTTTTTCACTGCTGAATGGTGCCCTTATGCGCTGGCATTTCAAATGATTATCTTTCCTTTCCTCCCCCCCCCCCTCCCCCACAAATCGCTCCCATGCGATACAACCACTTTAAATATATGATTCATTTTTGCAATAAAAGAATAACAAAAAATAAGAGATGAAAAATTTATCATATGGAAAAGAATCTCTCACTTATACATTCATCGATTCTTATAGGAATGAAAATCAAAGCTTGATAGATATAAAATTATGGTACTTTGTACTTGATAGCTTACAATCTAATTTGTGAGATAACGCTTGTACACGGATTTCAACTTAAAGCGTTACAATTTGATCGACATAAGATCACGTCGACAAAAAATGATTCCTTAAATCTGTAAGTGGAAGAGGGCGGGTGGATTTTATTTATGAGTATATTTTTTTTAAAAGTCTAGTTATCGGATATTGTATTATCGGAGATTGGAGAATGTGAATTGAAGATTAGAATTCAATTAGGTAAGTTTATAATTTTAATCTGTTTCGTTTTAGTTTTCTGATTGGTCGAATTTTAATTTTCAATTCATAATATTCAATCTCTGATACGTAGTGACGTAACACGCAGGATTTTAGGATTTTACGGAGCTTCTACAGAATTGATCGATGCTCCATATGTGCGTATTCGTTCAAAATAATTATCTCTGATTAATCTAATGTGCTCTCCGAGTAATAGCAAGAGACGCACTACACAACAGCACTTACGTATGAATTACTACGAAAGAAACAAGTATTGGCGATAATGGAACATGAGATATGTGCGCGTGTGACGAAAAATATTATTACATAAGAGTAAGAGTTCACGCACATTAAGCGCGCAAAGATGAAACTCTCGACTGTTTTCAGGTTTTTCAAAAAATCACAGGAGTATTATAATTAATATACATATAAGTATACATACTATAATCCCTCATTTCGCGCCATTCTTTGACAGTCCGTCACTATCCTTTCGCTTAAGCTTGTAATTAAAGATAGATCTTCTAGAAAGATTTTAGAAAAGAAAATTAAAAAATAGATCTTTTTATCTACTTTTTATTCGTTTTTGCAAATTAATGAATTGTAATTGACTATTATAGCGGATTTCAACGAATGTTCTCAATTTATTATTAAAATCATGGTGAAGTAGAAACAATTAGCTTTCCTATAAAGTTATCTAAGAAATTTAAAAAAAATCGGTAAACTAGCCGATATTCATAGTTTATAATCCGTTATTCTTATTTCAATTAGTCTATCTTAAGTAACGTAAATAAAGTATAGATAGAATAATAGAAGTCGATTATGTGTGAGTACCGGCCTCTGATTAATTCTCTTTTACTTTAAAAAAAAACGCGCCTAATCGCAGTTTGAATATAAGATCAGATCACTATAAATACTATCCTTAAGATATGATTAATTCAATGTTAAGGCTCAACACATGCAACGTGCTATTTCATTCGCGTTTCACGCGAATTGTATAAGTGGGATGTTCCCTCATGTCATTTTCTTCGCAGTCCATTTTATCTGCGGTAAAAACCTAATGTCATAAAAGATACAGAAGAATTTCACGCAACCGCAAAGGATGTAAACACTCAGTGGATATTCCCTTTACTCCGGATCTACAATAGATTTTTAACTCTTAAGTCATAAGGAATGGATAAATCACAATCACTTATTCTCCTCGCATTCGACTGTAGTTGGTCAATTTCTTATGGTTTAAAGCTTAAAACACCTATTGTAGATCCGAACTTAAATACCTGAGTCTTCGACACTATTCAACTCTATCTTATCAACTGCGATTACAATAAGAGTGCGTTCTAAATAACAATGAAAGAGTAATCAGAGAGAGGTTGCGCATTTCTTTTTCTAAAAAGACATAGGTATTTCAAAAAGTGTTATCGTCAGCATTATAATATTATCGTTAATATTATTACGATAATGAATTAAATATCGGAAATTTTTATAGAAACGCTCGATGCTACATACGTTAAATTTCACGCGAAATATCGTTACGCAAGTCGTTTTCTTTGCCGCCTTATCTATAGAATGAGAATCCGTATCGTATCGGTTATACTGCATATACAGATACATCAGCCACGCAGCTGCTCTGCCCTGCCCGATGGGTTTTCCCATTCCGCCCCTACTTCATTCGCTCAGAAATTACCGCTCCGCGCTAGCATTCACGTTTAATGGCCATCTTTCTTGCGCATGCGCATCCGAATGCGATCTCAGTCAAGTGTCTAGTTCAAGCAATTACAGATACCGTCTGGGCCTCTCTTCCTCGAATCAATTTCTAGCATTGTAGATACAAGATCTTATTCTTCGATGTCCAATTATATGCATATTTCATTTTAAATGCAGAAGGTAATACCCAGTGTAACAATCATAAACTATCATATACAATATTTAAAGAATCAGTTAATTTTATTATTAGTCTTTATAAAAAAAAAGAATCAATATAATCTATGATAATTGCATTGGGTATTACATTTTCTGCATTTAAAATGAAATATGCATATATTGGACATCGAAGAGTAAAATATATATCCAAAATATTAGAAATCGATCTTGGACAGAGAAAGAATTGACCAATCGCATTGGTCATGTAATTAAATTGTTCATATGTGATTTGTTCATTCTTTTTCCAAGATCTCAATTTCTAATGTGGATACAAGTTTTAAAAAAGAAACAATTTAGGATTCGATTGTAAAAAAAAAAGCTCCATGTACGTCCCTTCGCATGTCCTCTTTGATGATGTCGCGCATGCGCCAAAAACATGGTTTGGCAACAACGCGAATCTCTCTGTCTACTGTTCACTGATCAGTTCGTTCTGAGATCACGAGATGGTAGGATTCGTTCATTTGCGATCGCTCGGCCATGAAACTCATCGCGTCGCACAAATCACGTATCGTACGATAAAGGTGAACATTTTCCATCTGTTTCCCTTGATGGCGAGATAGAATAAAAGGATTCCCCTGAAGTCGAGAACGGCGGTTTTGTGACTCGGTGAAAGGCGCTGGGAATGAAATAGAACGAGGTAGAATTTGTAGAAAGTCGGATGTGCGAGAGTTGAGAGTACGCGAGCGAACGCCATTCAAGAAAGTGACGTGGGTGGGAGAGGGGAGCGGATCAAAGTGCGGCACAGCTGTTCCGTGAAAAGAAAGAGGAGGAAGAGGAGTAAGAAAAGGATCGCGTCGAATATATACGTCAACGTGACGAACGAACGAACGAACGAACGAACGATCGGACGAACGGACGGACGAACTGGACATCGTCGCGGTCGGGGTCTCTGGGGACTCGACCGGTAGTATATGGAAGTTGAACAAGTGCATTATCGAAGATGCTTGTTGCTTGACGCACCTTGACGCATACTATAGTGCAGTAGCAAAGGTTACACGAGAAAGTGAAGGTCGCATAACGAGACATCGCACTTTGCGAACGAGAACTATCGTGCGTGGGAATTCTTCAAAACTCTTCCTGCGCGATCGAATCGAGTGCGTCGACGAGGCGAGAACACATAGCCATATAGGTTCGGTTGAGCTAATATAAACGGTCTGGTTTTTAAAATTCGCCCATTCGTTAGAATCCCGTTAGTGTCACTCGCAACTTCGTCGTATACGGGTATTGCTTTTTTCTTCCCTTCGTTTCACTGATTGGAAATCATTGATTCGAGATAGATATTTAATAAAAGTTTTGGTAAGAGAAAAGAAAGATAAGAAAGAGGAGAGTAGTGCTATTCTTTCGCAAAAGAGACCGAGTGAAAGCTAGGAGACGACTCTTTGGATCTTGAAGGCACGACTTGAAAGAAAAAAATGTGGCATCCCAAAAGCACCCAGATGGAAGAACGTGTTACAGAGGACGATAAGGAGCACGGGCGGCGAAAGTACAATAACAACGACGACGACGACAACGACAACGACGACGACGACGACGACAACGTCGTCGGCGGTTGTAAGTACGAAGACGAAGCGGGCAACATCGATTCCGGATTCCTATCGGGCGGCAACCTGCAGTTCAGCGGCGAGATTAGCGGCGATTCGGGGTTGCTGCACTCGCAGGAAGAGTGGGAGGAGGGGGAGGGAGAGAGGCAGGAGAAACAGGTCACGGCGACGACAACGGCATCATCATCATCGATAACGACGGCGGCAATCGCCATTGAGGAATCAATGAAGGCGATCGATAGTGGCGTAGACCTCGACCTCACCGAAACCCTGAACCAGCTCAGCCTGAAGCAGGTCAACCTAAACCCGCTTGCTGCCAAGGGCAAACTGATCCAGACTGAGTTGTCGACCCCCAAATTATTGCCTGTGACGCAGGATAACAAGGATGACACCAAGTTCGAGCAGCATCACCAGCAGACCAGCGATGAAGAACATACAAACGAGGAACCCTGGCAGCTGTATTACATGCAAGATGATGACGGTGACACGTAAGTAACAATTATTTCATCTCTTTCATTTATTAACTTTTTGGAATGAGTGACCTATCGACCAAGGGATCGATTCTCTCCTTGAAACGAGGTGAAAATTATAAAAGTGAACGAATTTACTAGAATACTGATAATTTCACCTAGTATAATTGGTCACCACCTAGTAAATTTGCTCACTTTTGTAATTTTTACCTCATTTCAAGATACAGAATTGATTCCCAGGATTGGTTTTCTTCAATGTGAAATAACGTAAAATCATGCCTCTTAGGTCAAAGGTATTCTCTGCCTCTCCTGGATATATTGCCTGATTTTTTTCAAAATTAAAATAAATTAAACTAATATACTTAATAGCATTACTATACTAATTAATAGCTCACTATAAATATTATGGTTGCATTGCATTCCAATTCACTGTCAATGCTGAAAATTTATAGTACTTGTGCATTACGTGCACTAAATTTTCAGGCCTGACAGTAAATATTGCATTATACATTTATATATATTTGGATACATATGGATAATAAAAATAAATTACAATCTCTTCTTTTTATTTCATTAAATGTTCGTTCGATCGGTATTGTTTTTCTTTGATGAAATCAGTTAGTCGTATCTTCCGTATTTGAGACTACGGTCACTTGATGCTAAAACAATACTTTTAAGTATTCTTTGACTTGACAATTAAAATTTTTTCTTCTGATTGGTCAATCAAATACTTGGAAGTATATTAATACTATATACATTTGGATAATCAAAACAAATAACATAAAATATCACTTTTTTTTGTTTAATTAAACATTCTGATAATTGTAGCTTAGACTCTCTGTCTCTTTGTCTTATACTTATTACCGATTTCGTCAAATCAAGGGATCTATTAGTCTGTGATTTTGCTAATGGCTTATTGCGGTTAGATCGAGATCAATGGGTCCAGAGTCGAATATGATGCTGCATGCTATGCTAACGTACGATCCAACGGTGGCGACAATATACTGCGGGGATATACTTAATTAAAATAACTTTCAAAAAACATAGGTATTGTTATAGAAATCCTACGACTACTATAACAATATCTACGCTTTTTGAGCGTAATATCTACTATTATATGCGAGTTATGGCATATAAATTCAAAATTTGTAATTCATATACCAACCGTCCGGTCCCAGCCAGAAATGATTGATCGATCAACATCGAATCGATTTATTTTTGATCGGTTTCTCGTTACAAAATTGAGATGAGAAAATCATCTTTCTCTTTACTATCGCGATTTGCTCTTATTTTCGCTTTCTTTTTTACGAATATATAGTATACGTCAATTTGAGCACATATTATTGATGGCGTAAGTGGAATGACCTAAGTATACATACGTTTGACATGCGCTGTACGTGTGACTGACTCGGGCTCATTGACCATTTTAATGAAACGAGTTTCATTCTTTAATAGAATCGCTTTTCGGGAATGAGCAACAATAACAAGATAAATTGCACAGTGGCGCACGTTTTATATAAAAAAAAGGAGATACTTGCGGCAAAAAAAAGAGATGTCGAGAAAAATATTTTCAAGAGTAAAATTAACGAATAAATACTAAATTCCAATATTAAAAATTAATAAATAATTCTATAGATATAAGTGCCAAGTAAAATCAAATTTGCCTCTTCTTCTTATGTAATGTATTTTCTATCTATACAGGCAACTGCACATCGCGATCGTGCAGGGCTTCATGGAAGCTGCGTTTTGTTTAATAAGGATGGCCCCTGATCCGTGTCTATTGGACACTATGAACTACGATTGGCAATCACCCTTGCATCTGGCTGTATTAACACATCAGCCGTTGATCATCAGGCGATTGATTTTAGCAGGCGCAGATCTATCCCTAAGGAATTTTCATGGAAACACAGCCCTTCATCTGGCATGCAAAAACGGAGATCTTGCTTGCGCTAAGGCCCTCACGGATCCATTATCCTCGATCGAAAGGAACAAATTGATATCTGGACAAATGATACCCGCCTTACCTCAGAATTTGGAGCAACGTAATTATCGCGGTAAGCATTCGATTAACTTTAGTTTTTCATTAGTTTCTCACTTGTTTTGAGAAGAAACGATCGTGCGATGAGAAATAAATATAATTGAAACTATGAACACGATTATTAATAAAATTGGAAAAGTGTTAAAGATGCGAAAGACATTCATAGCTAAAAAATGCCAAGCAAATGCAATAAAAAATTGTTGATCTCAAATATAAGTTACTTATCGCGATTATTCCTGCGATAGTTATTTGAAAGCTTGCAACATAATTATCACTAATCACCGTAACATTAATGCGAGAAAAGATGATCCATGCCCATGGCACAAAGAACGCCGAAGTAGCAGTGGAAAATCCCTGCTTTTACCGTGCAGAATAAATCATATATAAGATTTGCGTAGTGAGCGATGACATTACGATCTATGGACACGTGGAACTGCGCGGATTTCCTGTGATTTCATCGAGAGAGAGTCATATGTTCTTTACGCTCACGTTTGAAAGTTTCATCATCTTAAAAACGTATCAAGAATATATTTCTTCTGAAAAAAAAGATTATATAATTCTATTGAGGCAATTTGAATTTAACAAATTTCTCAGAATCATTATATATCAAATGTTCTGCGATCGCATAAATATTACAATGATAGATTTTATAGAATTGTTTGTCTGTTTACAATTATGCAAACATATTATTATATATATATTATTTGCATTTATGTGTGTGTAAACGCAAATAATTTTTTAAATCGTAAACAATTAAAAAACAAAAACGAATTCCTGTAATACTGAAGACAATAAAAAATATTAACCTTTACTTCATTTTCAAATAAAGTTTATTTTAATAAAAGTATGAAAATTACTTACAACAACAAATGGAAATTCAAATCATATGCATATAAAAAGTAATGTTCTTCAATATTTAATTTCATCAAGGAATTTGTGTCCTTCAGACATTTGTCAAGAGGGGGGGGGGCACTAGCGAATTTATACATGTATTTTTGGGTTGATTTTTGAATTGCCGGATTTCTGCGAAATATCATGCGCCAATTGTAACGAATTAACAAAGAAAGAAGGAAAATTTAATTATTTTACGTCATTCTCATTACATCTTTCCGTCTTTATTACTTATTAAATTTGTGCGCTGCAAGCGCCATTTTTTTCAAGATCAAATTCGAAAAGATAGACTATTTGAATGATCATTAACATTACATTTAAAAAGTACTATGTAAATATTAAATTTATAAAACATTTTATTTAAAATTATGCCAACAAAAAAAATAATATACATTGTATAGGCACAACATTTTATAATAAAATATTTAATTTACATTTTCTATTTTTGGTAAATCTATTCAACACTGTTTTTTTTAACAATTTCTATGTCTTTATGTTCCAAACTTTCAAATGGCAAAGAGCTGAAAAACATCGTTTAATAGAAGCCACACTTATCGGCAGACACAGTAATATTTTATGTAGTCTTGCAATTAGTGACTTTAACATAACGCTGCATATCGCGATATTATAATAGAGCAGTAAGCCGCAAAAACCTATAAAAGTTTCTTAAATTAAAAAATATTTTTGAAACATCAAAATTGTGAATAGTAATAATGTAATCTCCTTATGGACTCTCCCAAATTCAACAACAAAAAATCTAAAAAAATCGGCGAATGAGAATCAGCGTGGTAGTTAATACGCAATCTTAAATCTTTATTTCAAAAAATAGAAAATAATATGTTTCAGTTCACTTTGGAACATCCTCAGCAATACAATTTCAAAATATCAATCCCTTCATATCCAAGAAAACAAATTACCATCAGATTAACACATTTGATATCTATTCGAAACATTAAAATAATTATCTTATAAATATTTCGAAACCATTCTGTCAACAAGTTACAAAATTAATATTAAAAAACTGGTGACTCATCCCAAGGCATAGAAGAAATTCATCTCGATATTGGATCAAAACCAATTAAAATTTATAATCACTAAAGAGTATCAAGTTAAAAAAACGCATGTTGATCGCAGTTTGAACGAAACATGACTAACACATTTAATATAATAAGAAAGATAGATTAACAAGGAAAATAAAAAGAAAAAAGAACAAAGTCAATACATAAACAATAATTTGTATAAACCGACAAAATGTAACTATTTAATGTCTTTTAATAATTATATATAAGTTTGATGTACACCTTCTGTATCTGAATATAAATTGAAACTATTTTGTTGCATGAGTATATGAAGGCACTTAGATATTTATTAAAAACATTTATTAAAAAAACGCTCTTCATCTAGTATCGCCACATTCTCCCAATTGAAGTCATATTCAAATTCAATCCGATGTTCTGTGAGCACCGATGGTTGTTACTATTCCGCTTAATATGATTATGATGCTCAGCCAATCTAATTTTAAGTTTTCTTCCTGTCTGTCCAGCATAAGAGGCATCGTAGGATTTACATGAGATTTTATACACGACATTTTTTCTCTTTTCTCTTGGGAAAATATTTTTATGTCCCTTGATCAATTTAACTATTTAATTTATTTAAGCTAGTAAAAGCTAATTTAGTGTTAAAAGTTTTACTAATTCTTTTAAATTCGTCTGACATTTTTGGAATACAAAAAGTCAGAAGAAAACAATCCCTCTTGATTTCTTCGTTTGATTCTTTCTGTTGTATCGTACCTTTATGAATGAGAAATTTTAATAGTGCATTAATAATATTAAAAATTAAATCAATCGAATAATCATTTTTTAGTAATGTACTGATAATATGTTCAAAATTTTTTTGGTAATACTTAGAGATAATAAAAACGTCTATCTGTCATATCTATTATTATATTTTTTTTTTGTGAGAGTGGATGTGATGATAAAAAATAAAGGTATCATTTGCCCTGATTTTTTGTTATCAAAATTATGATTAAACATTTTAGAATATTAAAAATATATTGTAATATTTCATTGCAAAATATTTTTAAAAAGGAGACACTCTCCCCCTCCCTCGCCAGTAAATTTCATACTAATAATAAACATAATATTTACCAAATGAATAACGCATTATTATTAAACATTGATTTTGCTCAAACTGGAATATTTAATATAATCAACTGCGTTATCCTTATAATATATTTGTTGCTGCTGTAGCTAATGGTGTCTTCGTGATTTGCATATTTGGTGTGATACATCTTGTGTTTCAAATCTTATATGTGATCAATTTATTGACTCATTAAATGCTGTTCTAGGCTATTTTCAATGAGCATATTTACTCAATGTTTGATAATAAATAACGCAGTCACTTATAATTGATAGCGATGGATACTCACATACATATACAATATCCCATATGAAGAATTCCTGCTACGGTGATGAAAAACATGTAAAAACAGATCGGAGGAAAAAAGATTGGTATAATAAAGTAGGCACAAATTTTTTTTTTTTAAATTTATTTTGCGTTGTATCTCTTACAGATAAGCATTAGTAACTTTTATCTATATACAATGCACAAGTCTACAAAATTTAATACTAAACTACATAATTACACTCCTTGAGCTAAATTTTATTATAAAATTTTATATAATTCCTACTCGCACACGCACACGCACACGCACACGCACACGCACACGCACAGAGAGGCAGATAGAAAAAAAGAGTGAGAAAGAGAAAATCATTCTGGTCGGCGACATCATTCATCGCGAGATATTCGTTTCGGATTTTTTCAAAGCTTGGAAATTCCACATGAGCGTCATCGGCGTATTCCGCCACAAATTCGCGGATAACGACGCAAGTATGTGGAGCCGATTGTAAGCGATCGTTTCGGATTGTGATCAATTAATCGAAACCGATAACAAAATTGCAAATCTAACTTCTGTGCGAACGTTAGATAACTCGTACAACATTCATCCAGACTTAAGGATTGATGAGTAATAAATTAAGTTCTTAGTACGGATTCTGTGACTGAGAAATCACTGATTCATTCGAAATAATCGTGTTTTAAAGTCCACTTATTTTCTTTGAAAACAAGTTGAAAACGATTAAGATTAAATGAGTGATAATTAGAAAAATAAGAAACGGACAATAAACGCGATCGGACACTTCTTGGTTGGAATTAGATGGAAATTGTAGAACTGAAATTAGAGGGAAACTGATAGAAACTGAAATTAGACGGAACTGTTTATGAAGACTATTTATAATTTCGATTTAATTTGCTAAAGAGGATATGGACTTGGAGGAGGTTGTTTCTTGTAATTAAAAGGAAGAAACGACTTCATGTAATCGTTTGTGATTCCATTGGCGAGAGAGCATCATATGTTTCCTGACGAACGGAAGCGGAATACTTTCGCGTGTACAATGGAATTCGACGTGACTCCTGCTTGCATGCGCGCGTTCGTCACATTGCGGCATGGCGCAGCACGTCGCGACGCCGCCACGCCGCGTCGCGTGACGGAGGGCAGGCACGGTCAGATGTTTTCAATATTTAAAAATACCTACAAGACTATTTGCGTGCCACGCGATTTCTTCACCTCGCCTCGTCCCGCTTCGCCTTAGCTGAGCTCGCTTGATCGGGAAACCCCACAGCGGCGTCGAAGCTAGTGGGTTTTGTCGGACTTTCATCCTTAAAAAATCGATCCCCTTTCGCGTCTGATTCGCGTCTGATGAAGGTATAGGGACCTCGCATCCTGTGCTCCAAATTTCGAATAATCGCGTAGCAATTTAATTAAGTCTTTCATATCGCGTACTTTATAGCAATGTGTAGAACACCTTTTTAGATACTTTTAAATATGACATCCTGAATCTAACAATAAGTTAAGAATCTCGTTGACACTTTCAATGTCACTGCGCAATCGACCGTACATACATGATTCTTACACGGTAAAAACAGGAGCTATACAGTAGATTTCTACGCGACTATACTTATGAATGTTCGCAATCTCCCAGGTTTATTTCTGTCATCAAGAGAAAGAGTACAATATCGACGCAAATGCGATGCACGTATAAGTTATGCCACATTAAATTCCGCCAATGCGACTGGTAATGCGGTGCAGTTAATTTTAGCAGTTTGATCGGTGCGAGCCTAGTTTGGATTGCGGGACTCTAGCCAAATCTCCGACGACAATGATTCACCGCGTCTTCCTAGTTCTATCTATGTCTCGCGAGTCGGAGACATATGATTCGATCGCATCACTCATTTTGACATGTGCATTCCTCCGTCTCTGACTTGCATCTGACATCATAGAGAATTCAAAGAGAGATAAATCTATAATAAATCAATTACGTATGTTAAGAATTCAACGTGACTCTATTGACATAAAATAGAGGAATAAATAGACATAGAATATCTGTGGCTGCTGTTATGAGATCGTGTGATCAGTCAATTGATTTACAATTTAAGATAATTCGTATTCTTCAAAATTCCAATAAAAAAGTATGTCGTTCTTGCTGTTGTTTATTATTGCATGATTCATTTCATTCTTTTTTATTTCAGGTGAGATGTGCCTGCACGTGGCTGCCACCAATGGATACGTGGATCTGGTACGACTTTTGTTGCGTTTAGGGGCTGATCTCAAGGCGAAGGAGGGTCTGGCGGGATACACGGCACTTCATCTCGCAGTGGAACATCAGTACTGGTCGTTGTTCGATTTTCTGTTACTGGAATGCCAACGAGCATCGTGTCTGAATGATCGAACATATGGCGGTAGAACGGCCTATCAATTGAGCTTGAATGTTAACACTGAGTTCACTAAGAAAGCACGCAAAGAGCTAATGCGATATGGCGCAATGCGGGAACCATTACCGGAAGAATCAGATTCCGAAAACAGCGAAGACGAAGAAATGACATCGTGGATGACGGATTACTTGCCCGCCATTGTTAAGACGCAAAATGCAATCGGAGTGACAGTCTAAAGTATCCATCGATATTTAATTTATCGATTAATTTGGGCGCTAGATAATTACCAAACAAAAAGAAAGATATCGCGTGCATATGCACGGAAAATGTATCTCGAATCACATTAACGTCTTTTAATCTATCGAATTGATACAATCGATGATGTGAGTAAAATTTGCCAGACGAGAAAAAGATTAAAATTATGTCTCATTTTCTATATGTATATGTTTGATAAGTATATTTTGAGCTTTAATTGTGCATTAGGAAATTATTTTGATTAAAATTTAAATGAATAATTATTACCTAAAAAGAACAATTAGATTTATTAAATTAAATAAAAATCATATTTCGCGTGGTTAACGCGTGGCTTAAATTTGATACGTTGGACGATGTGTTAATATTAAATGCATTAAGGCAAGTAATTAAAATAAAAGTATTACAATTTATTAAAAAAATAAAAATTATTTATAAATTTTGACACATTCGATATATAATGCACGAATAAACGTCAGTGTCTAGCTTTGAAGCTCCTGTCATCTTAATCTGCCGGTTGGATTAAGATCTACAGTAAAAAAAAATGAAAAGATTAGCAGTTAAGTAGATAAGAAATAGAATTTCTCAAAATTAGCTTCAATGTGTATTATATCTAATGTGCGATCAGAGATGCATCTTTTAGGTCGACAAGTATTACTATTGTAATACAATTCTAGACTGTTTATACCTTTTTCGAATCGATATCGGCAGCAAATGAGGAATGAATGATGAACGATTAATAGAGACGCGTAGAAATCGAAGATCTCAGAAAGGAACTTATATTAACGAAGCATTTAATTACGAACAAGGCGACGCGTAGACGCGGGTTGTCTTAGCGGTCGTTCGTTTTTTCCTCTAGTAATCTTTCGCAGCGGATAGGCATGCAGCATTTCGAGAAGAGTGTTCCAAAAAAGGCTGTACAAGTATGATATAAAGGACAAATGTGTATATATATATATATATTTTGTGTGTGTGTGTGTGTGTGTGTGTGTGTGTGTGTATGTGTGTGTGTGTGCGCGCGCGCGCGCGCATGTGTGTATATATATATATTATATATATATTTTAACACGAGTGTTCTTGTAATGTTTGTCAGAGCGTCTATGAGTGAAAGTAGGTGCGGAACATGTGATGATGCAAGTGTGGAATACTTGTGCTTATATACTTTATAATGTAAATAGAAGAGTATGTTTAATCTGCGTTTAATGAATACTCGTGAAGAAGGGTCTTATTATAATCTTAAGTCATAGATTAAGGCGAAATCGATGCGTGGAGTAAGATACATATTAAAGTGAAGACAAATAATTAAATTTACATTTTTTGTTTAATAGTCAAATTCACATTCTTATACATATGGCTCGTGTAGCCGCATGCAATGTATTTATATAGCAGATTTATTGAGAAGAAAGATCCAGAATGATGCGATGTTTATCGCTGATGAACATTAACCGGATCAGTGTTCATTGTAGCAGCATACAATTGCTTCCATCAATATACAGTAACTTTTCTCCATTTCTTCGTGTACATTATAGATATTTTCTGTTAGTCATAAGTATGTCACTGTCGCGATATATTAATAATAACAACGATTTGACGATATCATATTCGTATAATAAAAGCTATAATTATTTTTAATAAAAAAACATGTCACACACACACACACACACACACACACACACACACATGAATCTAGCGCTTCCTTTGTCTTTTTCTCTAACAAATACATATCGACACATATCGGTTTCTCTACAGAGAAAAACAGATGTGATTTATTTTCCACTTTATCCTTCTTTCTTTTTGAGCGAAATCTTTTTTTATGAAAATTTCGATGGAAAAGTTTAGAAAGAAAAAGAGTTAGATAATTAAATAATTGATCTGATAAGCAAATCATGTGCTTTGATGAATATATTACATCAAATGAAATTTGATGTGATTTTGTAACATAATTATGAAATCAAGTAAATGATAACAAAACATCTAAATAAAAACATTTAATGCATGAAAATTAAAATTAGCACTATTAGAATTTAAAATATTTAAATAATAAAACATTGCTTTATTTAATCTAAATATTAACCCACTATGATAATGAAACAAGCTTTGGATGTGTCGACAAATCTGCTTGTAATTTGTTAAGAGTAGCGAGAGGGATCAAAGAGATTTCTCTTTTACGTTGTTTTCTGATTTGTCTGTGATCATTGCATGCAGAATAAAAATGTTATCGTGCAAGTGTCATTTTGTCGAGTTTAAAATACGGAAGCTCCTCGAACGAATGATTTCAAAAAGAAGAAAGAGGTACGTTTCTTTTTCTCTAAAGATTCTAATGTAGATACAAAAGATTCATATGATTTATGATTCATATGATCTCTCGAAAGATATTGATAATAACGTAAATGTAACGGAATTTTTGAAGGCATAAGTACGCGACATTGTAAAATCCGACATAAAAATCTGAAGACGGAATCAACCGATTGTTATTTCGAGTAATGACTACTAAGCATTTCAAGAAAAAAAATCTATCGCGCGAAAGAAAGAGGGAAAGTACGCAGGCTTCTTAGTGTTTAGATACTAGAAAAACTGCGTTTCATTGTCGGATTCCTCCCGACAATGTAAACGAAGTAACAATAACAGTTGTAAGAAATGTCGCTTTTTACGAAGCACACTTAATATTTGAAATTATGGAAGTATGGAAGATACGCGCGCATCGACGATGCCTTTGGTTCTGTTCGAGGTTGATGGGTTTTTCCCATCTCGCATTTGTAGTTTACCGCTAAATGTATTATTACCAATCGTTGGTGTAGTCATGCACCATGTCGGAGAGACATGGACGCGCATGGACTAGCAAACACTGTTAGACCTATATATATAAGTAGCGTACGTACTTGTATAAGTATATGTATAAGTACATACTTGACTGCAACAAGCGGTTTCAAAATTTTCAGATAGCTAGCTATAATGTCATTTATCAGCATTTTGACGTCAAAATAAGATAAGATTTATAAGATAATATTTGCGAAAATATTATTGGTATAGCATAATATTGGTATAGTAATGAATTGATCCTCCCTTTTCCCCGGTGATCTCAGTAAGCTCACCATCACGAATAGATGATATGGTAGCGTTAGAATATTGTATTGCTGATAAATTAAGTAAGTACAAAAATTTATTGCAATATTACATTAATATTTTCTTTTAATCAGTATTAATTTATTGAAAATATTGTGATTTTTTTTATTATCTATTAATCTCATATTGATTTAGATTTTATAGTACATATTATATGTATTCGAAAATCAGCTAATTATACTTCTATCTGATCTAAAAGACTCGATATATAATAATCTTTAAGGCTCCTAACTAGTCATGTTGGAATCATGACGTCAGAGGAACATGTTAACTTATGTTGCGTGTCATTTTTAAATAAAGACAATTTGGATGAAACGAAATGACAAGATCACTTTAAAACACTTGTAAAAATTGATAAAAATTATCCTTTCCTCTCTTGACAGTCAGTAAATGATCGTAAAAGGCACATAAAGTGAGCCTATATTCGGGCAGAAACACACAGTCCGACAGATGTTGAAACAAGTAAAATATACGCTTTTAGATATAAAATTCCAAGATAACTTTAGTTTTCATCGATAATTACGACTTTGAATAATTACGACTTAAGTACGAGACAAGTCACATTTTCACAATTAGGCAAATAATAACGAAATGGCACGCAACATAAATTTCGTCGTCAAAACGTCACTTTTCCACGCTTATAAGTTCGGCCATTTATCGTGGTGCGGCATTGTACATATAAACAAGCACGAACCCATATCCGTGTGCTTGCCTGTAGCGCGCCGAGAATAAACGAGACAGTTCCTTCTCCCACTAATAGCTTATTTCAAGCGATCGAAAATGTTTTCTTGGTAATCTCGGCCGCTCGGCGGCCCTAGGCATCAATAAGGGATGGAGGTCATCCTAAATAACATATAAGTTTTAATAAATTGTAATAATAGTGTACTCCTCCCCTTAATCCAAAATAGTATAAATCAACATTATGAGAATTAAAACGCAACAGTTTATGAGAGAGATATTTAATTGTTTAGGATTTTTCATTGTTATATATTGGGTCATCTAAAAACCGCGGATACTTTTTAGATGACCTAATAGATACTTCTCCTTCATAAACTTAGCAAGAATAGTTCAATAGAAGTAGAATTTTATTGGAAAAAAATTATAAACTAACATTTCTTTTCAAAAAAGAAAGTCTCGAAAGAGTCCATCAGAAAAGAAATGCTATGTTCGAGACTCGAGACTTGTGAAGAAAGTATGTGAAAAAAAATCGAATAGTTGCAAAAAGCATGTTTTTCGCTTATAAAATGAAAGTATTGATTGTATGGAAAAAAATTCGATATAAAAAATGTAGGTATTCGAAATACCTACAAAATAAGACATGGAATATTAAAATCGATCTATTAGTTGAGTAGAAAAAATAAATAAAAAAACACCGAAAGAGGCCTTTTTTCATTCACTCGTAAAAAATTCTCGTAAAATGTATTTAGTATTATAAATACGTAATGACGAACAAATCTAGCCCTGAACAAGTCTGAAAATGTTCATTAATTTTTGCAAAAAGCCATTTTGTTCACTAAAAACCTCTCCGCGGAAAATTTAATTTCTTTATCTTTGAGTAGTTGCACAGCAATTTACAGGAACTTTGCTTCTTCAAGAGTCGCACTATTACGTACGCTTAATAAAACGATTTTTTTGTAGTTAAATTATTATAAAACGATTTTAAAAAATGGGTATCTATTTCCATATAAAAAAATGAAAATAATTTCGTTAATATGCATCATATTAAATAGCTGTGTGAAGCATTCGTAATCTGACATTTTTCTACGAATTTAAAAAGAAAAGATTACCCTCTGATTATTAGAAGCCGAGATAACAATTTTTTTCAAAAAATACTGTGGCTCTAGTTTTTAAGATTAAGAATTCCGTCTGGTTCTAATTTGTCAAGGAAGAATTTGCTGTTAAAAAAATCTCGAATTGTAACCATGAAATTTTTAATTTAGAAAATTTTTTCATTCTTGAATTTTTATTTTTTCGGTTTATTATTAAAAAATCACGTTTGAGTATGGAAACGTACGTTTGATTAACAAATTTAAGTCACATTAGCTATATTTTTTTATTTAATATGCTGTAAAAAGTGTCCAATTGGACAATTAAAGGTACGGAATTATCAGTACAAAATTGTTTTTGTGAATTTAATTGTAGATGCAAATATGACATATGTATATAAATAATTAATAAGTAATTTGCTAAATGTTAGCGTAACTGTTAAAGATATAACACTAACTTTTGCAAATATAAAAGTAAATTAGTGTTACATGAAAAATATTTTGCAACTATATTCAACAGGTACATTAACATTTGACAAATTATTTATTATTTGTTTACATATGTCATATTTGCACCTGCAATTAAATTCATAAAAATGTACTGATAATTCAGTACATTTAATGTCCAAATACTTTTTACGGCATGTTAAATAAAGAAATATAACTAATATGACTTAAATTTATTAATCAAACATGCACTCCATACTTTAACATAATTTTTTAGTAATAAACCGAAAAAATAAAAAGAAACAAAATCAAGAAACAAAAAACTAAAATTTTCATGATTACAATTACTTTGCGAAACATTTGGTTAAGTTATTTGTTTATATCTTATCGAGCTACTCCAGATTAAAAAAAAAATCAGGTTTCCACGTCAATTTATTGCTGAGAAAATATAAATTTAGCAAATTTT